AGGAATGCTCAGGCAAGGGCGTGAAGGTGTAGTTCAGAAGCAGTGCTTGCTTGTGATTGCTAGGTCTTTCCATCCAGCAGCTGCATGTGCATGACTGTGTCCTAAGTCTGGGCAGGAGCAGAGGGTAGCCCTTATGTAGCCAAAGTCTGGGCCAGTCATCCTGTGCAGGCATTCATTGCAGATCAAGAATTCCCTTTTTACTGCCTGCTGAAAAAGTCAGCAAGGTTTAAGGAAATCCTGTTTATTTGAGTGCATCATCGGTCCCCTAATAGAAATCAAAATAGTGGGAAATGTGTTATCAACACTGTGTATTTCACTTTGTGTATTCAAGGGTGGTTGTTTTCTGCCCAAACTGATGCAAGTCTGATATGACCATATTCTTTCTTGTGCAGGTGGAGCAGCCGGTGGTGGATATGCTCAAGTGATTCCCATGGAGGAGGTGAGACAGTGAGGGAGGCAGCAAGTCCCTGTCCCTCTGGGAGGGGTGGGCAGACCAAGGTGGCCACGGCAGCCCTTGGTTGGGGGCAATGATCTGTCTGGAAAATTGGGGTGGTCCTTGCCATCTCCATATAATCAGGATGTCAGTTAGCTCAGTCAGTTAGAGCAGGGTGCTAATAACGCAGAGGTCATGGGTTCGATTCCCATTCGGTCCCCATGTGTTGCCTGATCTAGTTGAGAGGCGTCCCTGCCTGTGACAGGGAGGTTGGGTTAGACGATCTCTAAGGTCCCTTCCAGCCCAGGCCATTCTATGGTTCTATGATCCTTGCTATCTCCACCTGCCTGCTGTGTTCAGGGTGGGGCTGCGGAATGAGGGTACAAAAACGTTGCACAGGCACTGCATGTGTTTGTAATGCCTTGGCTCTCGTTGGATGCTTCCTGAGAAAAAATCCTGCTATCCATGCAAAACATACAAGACTAGCTACTGCTAGTTTTTACCTTTTATATCCACGTCTATTGCAAAAGAGAAAGAGAAAGCATTACTTGTCTAGTGCAATTGAAAAAGGCAGGGAGGCCCAGGGTTGCTGGGTTGAGGAAATTTCTTTTCTAAGTGGAAATTTGATATTTCTTTTTAGCAGGAGTTGCTGAATATGAGGACTTGTTTTTAGCCAGGCTGATTCTCCTGTGGTAGTGTGAGACATGCCCAGAATACTGCAGAGGGGTGAATACCACAGCTTTTTCTAGATAAATAAAAGGAAGATGATTTGGCTCAACAACAGCGATGAAACAGAAAAGTCTCCTGTGAAAATTTGTTTTTCACAGGTGCAGGCTGTTAGGGAGCTACAAGGGCTGGGGCTCCCCATGGGGATGGACAGCCAGGGCATGGCAGCCAGGGCCCCTCCTATCACCAGCCAGGAGCAGACAGCCCGGGGTTCGGGGGCAGCCGCAGCCTGGGGCATTGTGTACCTCCCTGAGGATGAGAGTGGGGCATGTAAGGATAGTATGGCCAAGCTTATGTGTCTGTTAACACTGCTTCTTTGGAATGCATGGTGGTTTCACCCCGAAAGAATCTAATTTGGAGCTCAGCAAAATCTCTCCATGGACCATACCGGTGAAGCGCCACCTTGAAAGTGCACAGCTGGTCCAAGCAGAGCCCTAATCCAGCACGTGGTTACAGTTTTGATCCCCTGTCGCGTGTGAGTTTGAGCACAGTCAAACTGTGGCTGCTGTCCGTGCCCCTCTGCTGTCAGTGCTGCAGAGCAATTAAACCTGACCTGCCACCTCCTTTCATCAGAGATATATAAAAAATAGAGTACCTATGTAAGACAAGTCCTAATTTAATCTGAGCTGCTGATTTCTCCACAAAATCTTGCTGGACAAATTTGTATCAGTAAAGTTCATACCAGATCAGCTACAGGCTGTTCACCTGTGGCTAGCAGAAAGCTGGCATACACCCCCGAAGCCAGCACGCATGGTGTGCTCCAGGGGATTTCAGGTCAGTTAGTAAATACTGACAGTAAATTGATTCAGTATTAATGATGTGGAGCTGTAGCCCTGGGCTTTTCATTCTTGGATCACTTAGCAAAGAATAAAGATGTTCGTAGCTTTGTTTTGCTAAACTAAGAGTAGTTTACCATGTACTCATGTGAAATGAAGTCCTTCGTATAGCTTAGTATATTTTCAGCCTAATAATATTTCATCTGCACTGATAGGTGAATAATCAGAGCTGCTGCCTCACAGAGACAGCAACAATTGTTGCTTCTAATCTGTCTGAGATTAATAAATTAAGTTAAATGGTTTCTTATAAAAAGATTTTATTGTTTGCACTCTCTAGTTCAATCTTCATTTGACTGGAGATATTCATGCTATAACGGCTGCAAATAATTTGTTGGCTGCTGCTATTGATGCCAGGATCTTGCATGAGAACACTCAGTCTGATAAGGTGAGAATTATTTTCTAATGTCCACATGGCTTTTTTTTTTTTTCAGTTTTCAGTGAACTGAAGTTCAAAGCAAAATATGTTGATTATCTTTCTGTATTTTCACAATGTGAACAGAAATTAATGCTAAAGCCATTCTATGTTCTGCAGGGACATTTTGCACATGGAGAATAGTTTTCTGGGAAATAGCTGTCGTAAGGTAGTTTTTAAGATAAAGGTCTTGGGCCCAGAACATTGTCAGCTATTATAGACTGTACTAAATAATCTAATAAAAATGTTTTCTCTATATATAATCTTATCTTTAATAATTTTTATATCCCTTTTAAAGTTTAAAATTATATTTCTGATGTATAGTTTGGTATGATGTACCTTAAGAGGAAGGACTTGTGGAGAAAATAATCTAGATCCTCTTCCCTCTCTTGTGACCTCAGCACAGATGTTAACTTGAGTCTTTAAAGGGAAGGGAGAATGTAAAGGAAGAAGCCTCTTTTTTTTGTTTTTATGCTACAGTGTTTAAACTGATCAGGGTTGTCATATCCCCTGTACTTTGTAGGACACAAATGTGCATTTAGACCAGTTTGCAAATGAGAGTTGTAGTTTGAGTAATTTGGACCTTGGTTAAAGTTTATAGGGTTCCCAGTTTAAAAAAATAATACTCTTTTTTTGTGAAATATAGAAACACAGTAATATCGGTAATTAGATTTAGACTGTTATGTCATAGGCATTGCTCAAAAGCCTACCACCTTGTTTTATAAATTATTCACCAGAATTCCACAACTTAGATGGCTGGGAAATTCTTACTGAAATTACTCTGAATTAAATAAAAACATTAGCTTTTTTATTTAACTAGTTCCTTGTAACTTTTCCTTTCATCAACTTCTTGTGTCTTTTTTCTAGGCTTTGTATAATAGACTGGTTCCAGTAGTTAATGGTGTGAGAGGTTTTTCTGCTATTCAGCTTGCCCGTCTGAGAGTAAGTTGTTAATGTAATCTCTTCTCGATTAGTATCTCTTCCCAAAATGTACTGTCTTACACAGCTTGTTTAAAATTATTTGATGTATGGGACTGAATTTCTATAAACCTCTCTCATGAATTTATCAAGTCTAGACCTTTTTCTGAAAGTGTTGTCCCTGAAATAATAGGATCTGGGTCTGATACTGTTTTCACAGCTAACATTTGTGCTATTCTTTTCTTCCAATAATGTTTTTAAATGCTATGTCTTTCCTCATTAAATGTTAGAGTTTTAAAAATACTTTTCCTAATATGGTAAAGCCATGTTTGAAAGCTCACATGCTTTGGTTTTGCAATATTTTCTGGTTTTGAAGGTTTATTACAGCATATACTTCTGGGGTTTTATCGATGTCAATTTGACAGTGTTCTTTCTTTGAGGGATGGAAGTGCATTTGTGCATTTTGGCATCCCGTCTTGCTTCCAGAATGCTTCCAGAAGAGCTTCCTGTGCAATTCATGTATGAATAACATACGTGGATTTGAGGCTGCTGTTCTATATGTAATGGGAGAGCAACACAGCCCACGAGCATCAGGGAAGGAGAATATAAACCCCTTGAATATAACCCGTAAGGACAGCTTCAGTCTTCCATTTCTAGTGCCATGTTTGATGTTTGCATTTGAGTCCTGCCCGATGTTGTTTCAGAGTGACTGGATGACCACAGTTAGCTGCCAAGTGCCCACTTGGAACTGCTGGGTAGAAAGGAGGATAGAGTTAATATCAGCTTCTGTTTTGGGAAGAAAAAAAAAATTTTAAAAAATTGAAGCTTTTTTTAAGCTTTTGTGCTGCTCATTTGAATGTCAATAAACTAAAACGTGGATGATGCCTACTTGACTCCATGGCAGAGTAGATCCCACAGAATTTTCTATCAGAATTTTGGAGTATTTTGCTTGTTTATACTGTGTGTAGGGTAATAGGTAGGGGAGGAGGGGGGAAATGTTTTGGTTATTCATGACATAGCAGCTATCTCTGCAGCTGAAATGGATTTCTCTATCTTCACGAGTTGCAACTCAGCAAAAAAAAGTTTGGCTTTATAACATTCACATACATTCATCATTATGTCCCCACATAACTGAACTCTTTTGCTCTGAAGTATTATTAGTATAATGTGATTCCTTATACCTAAAGAAAAAAAAGAAGTAAAAAAAAATCTTTATGGAATGGTGTTGTGCTTTAAACGCAGCTGGCAACTAAGCACCACAGAGCAGCTTGCTCACTCT